GCCATTGGGATTTTTATGCAAATTGCATTGGATCTGTGGAACAGTTTGGGTAATATGGACATTGTAACAATATTAACTCTTCCAACCCATGAACACAGAGTATCTTTCCATTTATTTGTGTTTTCTTCAATTTCTTTCATCAATTTTTTAAAAAGAGACAAAGAAGATCATTTTTATAATGATAAAAGGTTCAACTCATCAAAATATGTAACAATTATAAAAATATATGCATCCAAATTAGAGTATGCACACACACACACACACACACATAAAGTAAGTATTCACAGAGCTGTAGAGAGAAATAGACAGCAGTACAATATTAGAGGGCTCCAATATTTCACTTTAAATAATAGATAGATAATCTAGATAGAAAATCAGTAAAGAAACTTTGGATTTGAACTACATCTGAGATCAGATGGGCCGGATGGCGCAGAACATCCCACCCAGCAGCAGCAGAGTGCATGTTCTTCCCAGGTGCACACAGCATGTTCTCCAGGATGGATCATATATTAGGCACAAAACAAGTCTTAACAAATTTAAGAAAGCTGAAGTCAAATCAAGTGTCTTTTTTTATCAGAGTTTAATGGAACTGAAAACCAATAACAGTAGGAAAACTGGAAACTCACAAATACATGGAAATTAAACAATACATTCCACAAAAAAAAAAAAAAACCAATGGGTCAAAGGAGAAATCAAAAGGGAATAAACAAAAAACAAAACTTGAGACAAATGAAATGGAAACACAATATACCAAAGCTTGTGGAATTGTGCTTTATTATGTGCACTTTCTTAGCATAGGCATCTTACCAGATTTAAAGGGTAACTGCAGAGAGCTAAACTGGGCCACAAGGATGCCCTTTTCTTCATCACTTAGTTATAAATTGTTTCAACCTAAAGCAAGAGAAATCTGTTCTGTATATTTTCCTTTAAGTCAAACTACAGAACAGACATGAACCAAAATTCTGTAAATTTACAGTTACCAGCTCTGGGAAGACAAAAAGAAAGTCAGAGGAAGACAGAAAACATTTCACCTCATGCCTAGTTCAGAGTTAACAGCCTCTTTGAAGCAGGGCTTCTCAAGCTAGAGCTAGAGCTTCACAAAATCAACATGATTGTTCACGTATGAGGATACATGTCACCCTCTTTACATGTTTATGTAAGGCTTTGTAGGATTATGAATACTTCTATTTCTGAGGTGTCCAAATATATAGGATTAATCCTCCAATTCAACACATCCAAATCATTCAAATTACTGTGATGACTATGTGAAAGGGAGTTTAGGAATGTGGGACTGATGTGACCATCTCGAGTAAATCCAGACTCTGAAACTCACTGACAGTCACTTGTGTCTCTCGACCTAAGGCTCTTATAGAGTGGGAGTTAGAACTTCACTGCTATTGCTAAATTTAAATATAATAACATTTGTGTACTTAGTACAGTGAACAAGGGAAATACTCGGTAAATAGTTTGACTAACCTTATTAGTGGTGAATTATTTCAGTCTTTATCTTAGTTATTATTTTCTCAAGTCTTTTTTTCATGTTGTCCTCCTTCTCATTTAATAGAGTATGTGTGTGTGGTGCATATTCTTGTGTATTTCACTTCAAGAAGCCTTTACATTAGTACATACAAGCCCCCAGACAAACCCCCTTCACTCAAGCCTAATCATTGACACACCATGCCTTTTATGCAATGAATTTAGCTTCAGAAAAAACAAAAAACAAAACAAAGATGACAACAGCTGAGAAGATGTGACTTGGCGACAGCTGGTGTAGAAAGAAAAATGCTTGAGGATAATAAGTGGTTATGTTTGGTGTGATCCAGTCTGACAATGCTCCCACTGTCATCTGAAGTCATAATGACAGATGAATATTCAGAGCCAGTAAGTTGTTTTTTGTGTGTGTGCTTTGAAGGGACTAGTACAGACCATACTTGAAACTGTGTGTTCTGTCCCGGGCATCACAGTAATGAGGAACATAAACAGAATTATGAATATTGACTCCTGTTGGCAGAGTCTCTGTGTTTTTCTTTAAATCATTTAACAAAACATTTTTAATGAATAATTTTAAACATGCAGCAATGTTAAAATAACTTTATGGTGAATTCTTGTAAAGCACCACCTGCATTGTACCATTATTATTTTTTAATACTTTTGTCACATATCTAGTCATCTATCTATCCATTAATCCATCTGTGATACAATTCAAAGTAAATTGCAGACATCAGTACCCTTCCCTTTAAAAACCTTCATATCACAGTTAAGACTACACTGCATGTTTACATTCTTTTTTTTAATGTACAATTTGCAGACTATGACATACCTAAATCTTGTGCATATTCACTGAGATTTGACAAATGGATACATCTCCGAACCCAAACTCCTATACTTCGACTGTTGATTTTCTATATGTAACTTGCCTCTTCTTTCTAAGAAATATAAGATTTCTGGTCTTTGTGGTTTATTTTTAAGTGCTTCCCTTTCATCCCCCAAACAATAGCTCAGAACCAGACAATGTATGGTATTTTGATCATTTATTTAGTCATGGCACCTGAAACAGGCCTTGAGATAAACGGTGGTCTTCAGAGATTTGCACGAGGTTGGCCAAATGGCAGAAGGTGGCCCAAGAGGCCTTCCAGGCAGGACACGGCAAGGAAGTGTAAATGCACTTTTTGTCTGGACAGCTTACAGGAACCTGACCTGGCTAAAGGGGACAGTTCCAAAAGAAGAGGGGGTGGCCAGTTGAGAGGCAATATTTTCAAAGATGCACAATGACTCAGTTACCAAACTACATGTAGTAATCTATGTGTTTACACTAGAAGTATCTAAATTACTTCAGGGAGTAAAAACCAGAGGAGAAGAGGGCTCGAGTTCCCTAATGGGCAGGGAATTTCATGAACAGATAAAAAGAGGACAGCAAAAAACAGTTGATGAAAATTTTCAAAATGTTCGATGAACAGAAAATGGACATTTAGAAGACTGTTTAAAGACTGAGGAAAAGAACAAAAGTATCCTGCTCAATGAAGACAGTATAAGGCTGAAACTGATGACAGAGCACAATAATAAAAACTATTCATTTTTGAGCTCTTGTTACATAGCAGAGACGAAGCGCTTACGTGCATCATTTACTTAATCTTCACAAAAAGTTTAGGAGGGAGATACTAATATCTCCATTTTAGAAATGGAGAAATCATACTACAAAGAAGTCCATGTCAGAGCTTATGTCAGAGCTGTGACTCACGTTCTGGTCGGTGTGACTCAAAGAGCCACCCTCCTTTAGTCACCTTACCCAAATTATATATTACGTAGTTCTTTTTCTCCAGCAAGGGGAATAGTCTTTAAGCTTGGAAAAGGATAAGTCCCACACTAGGAAGAGTAGAATGTATACTTTCTTCCAGCATAACCCAAACCACTCCTTAGCTCTTTATCTGAGTGTCAGATGCTTCCCCTAGTTTGGTGTGGTCCTCTTCAACTATATACATAAACTATATACAAATATCCACATGTGCATAAAATGTAATTGAGATTTTTGAAGTAGGAAACAGTCTTAATATTTATTTCTTAACACATTCTAAACATCAGAATAAAGGTGAAAATCTTAACAGTGACTACAGAGGCTTGGGTGCTTCAGGCTCATTGCTCTCTGACCCCATCACCTACTTGCCCACTCACTCCAGATCAGTCGTCACTGTGACCTTGCTGAACCTTGAACAACTCAGGCATGCTCCAGCCTTAAGGACTTTGTTCTGGCTTCTGCTCTTCTGCCAGATATTCGCCTGGCCCACTCTCTCATCTCCACATCCTCCCAATGAAAACCCTCCTACTACCTGACTTAGCACTGCGGTTGGCCTCCACCTCTCCCCAAGCATTACTACTGTCATGTACTTGTTTATCATGTTTACTGTTTTTGTCTATTTCTCCCTGTTGCAAGGTAAACATCATTAAGATATAGAATTTTTGCCCCCCTCACCCTCTCCCATAACTGTACCCCAAGCACCTTAGAACAAAGCCTGCCACAGAGCAGGCACCCAGTAAATGTTTGTTGACAGAAGGATGGTTATTACCTAGTACATACATCTAGAGATGTCTTCTATATGTGTCTAACATGTTATTTCTAAAAACATGCTGTACTGCATGAAAGCACTCACAGGAAGACTTCCCAGAACTTCCATCTGGATTGCTCAGAATGAAATATTTAGATATGAAACTTGTCTTCATTGCATTGATACAGCTGCACGGAGACTGAACTCACCATCAAAACAGTTGTTTTGACCTGGACTTATCTACTAATGGAGCTTTTTTCCTTGACAGTAACTAATTAAAACTTTCCCTGAGCCTTAAGATTCCTCATGATTCATCCAGTTTTCTCATTTCATGATTAAGATCAATTGACTACATTCTTTAAATGCACACACTTTAAGGGACTTTATATATCTATTCACTATTTATTGAACAGTGATTATTTATTGAATGTTTATTCCCTCCTTTCTATCTGCTAGACCCTTTGATGTTGGTAGGAAGACATAGTATATAGTCCAAATCTACCATTCCATAGAAATGAGAAAACTATGGTCTAGAGAGGATAAATATTTTATATAAATATTTTATTTTTATAGAAACTGTTTTTATATAAAATTTTTATATAAAAATGTTTTATTTTTATATAAAATAAAAGTAGTTCTTTCCTGAAATTGGGAATAATGAACATCACATGATATAAGACTTAAACAATAGATGTCATAAAATAAGTAATATATGATCATGGTATTAAAAATCCTTCATAATCCACATGGAAATTCCAAGAATAAGAGAGGAGACAGAGTTTCCCAAGAGGGATTTTCTCAAGTCCCAGAGTGACTGCATGGTTGATTTAGATCAGAAAAAGGTCTTTTTATCCAAATTTATGCTGGGTCAAGTATTCCATATCATATCTGTATGTTTTCTTGATCTCATAGTTAAAAAAACACAAGCAATACTTCTTCAGAATTTACTTTATTGACAACTGAATGAAGGGAAATATATACTGCAGACCCAGAGTAGAAGATGTCTTTATAAATTTAAGAGATCTGCAAGAGAAAAGTAAAAGCAGAAAAATGAAAAGAAGGATGACGGAGATGGCAAGTCACCACAAAACATGGGCTCTAATTCAGCATTTTCCATAATGTTTTAGGCTGATCTTCCCACCACTTTTCCTATAAAAGAAAAAGACAAAAATATGTCCATCACAGAAGTTATGTATGGGTTTAGTTATGTCTTAGTCCATGTAATCATTAGATTGTACAGGTACCCATGTCTGTAATCTGGGAGAGGTTAATTAAATGCACTCAGAGGTGACACCTGGTCTAATTACGCGAAGCATGAATCTTAAACAGTTTTAACAAGGCTTAGACCTTTCGGTTTCAAATGTTCATTTTCTGAGAGTAAATATTCATTCAACTGGAAAAGGTAAAACTGACAGGAGAAATAATGGCAAAGAGACTTTAGTGTCATAGTTCTATCCCGATAGAAGATACAAGAAATTGAACTAAATATTCAGGCATTTGGCATTTTATAGCACACCATGTATTCAGTCCTTCTCAGTGATATGCCCATTAAATTAAATCTCATCTTACCCCTTTGTCCCTCTCATAGGAAAATAATGCTATTAATTAGATATGCTATATATGAATGTAGACACATATTTATTATGTTCTGATTCAATATTTATTAATTTCATTCTATGTGCTTGACCATATTATTATTATTATTGATAGAGAGTTATATAATTTCTTTGCTCAGGAATTACGCAGCAAAAGTTGAGGGAAATTAAGCTAGTAGAAATTCTAAGATAAGAAAATGACGATGGTGAGGAAGTGAAGTAACTTTTATCTGGGTTAAATAAGGGTTATAATTCTCTACTTTTACAGCAAAAACAAATAATCCTAAAATTTGTATGGAACCCCAAAGGACCCTGAATAGCCACAGCAGTCTTAAGAGGAACATAACTGGGTGATTTGCTCTTCTTAAAATGACATCTCCAAGTTTCAATCTATACTTTTGACCCACCCTTAGATGGTCAATTAATCTATGACAAAGAGGCAAGAATATACCCTGGGGAAAAGATAGTCTATTTGATTAATGGTGTTGGGAAAACTGGACAACTCCATGCAAAAGAATGAAACTGGACCACTTTTGTATACCATATAATAAAATGGATTAAAGACTTAAATGTAAGACCTGAAACCATAAAGGTCTCAAATGAAGACATAGGTGGCAAGCTCAGCTCTTTGACATCAGCTTTAATAATTTTTTTTGGATATGTCTCTTTACGCAAGGGCAACAAAAACAAAAATAAACAATTGAGGCTACATTAAACTAGAAAGCTTTTGCACAGCAAAGGAAACCATCAACAAAACAAAACAACCTACTGAATGGGAAGATACTTGTGAACAATGTATCTGATAAGGGGTTGATACCCAAAATATATAAAGAACTCATACAACTCAGCGACAACAAAACAATGAGTAAACAGTGGGTTGAGGACCTGAATGAGCACAGAGATGGTGAACAGGCACATGGAAAGGTGAGCGATATCACTGGCCATCAGGGAAGTGCAAGGCAAACTCACTGTGAGATACTGCACACCTGTCAGAATGGCTGTTATTAAAATGACAAGGAATAACAAATGTCAGCAAGGATGTGGGGGAAAGGGAACGCTCATGCCCTGCTGGGACTGTGAGCTGGTGCAGCCCCTGTGGGCATCAGTATAGAGGCTCCTCAAAAATTAAAAATACCCTATGATCCAGAAATGCCACTTCTAGGAAGTGGAATATTTAATGAAGAAAATGTAAACACTAATTTGAAAATACATATGTACTCCCACATTCATTGCAGCATTATTTACAATAGCTAAGGGATAGAAGCAACTTAAGTGCGTTTGTGCGCACGCGCGCACACACACACACACACAATGGAATATTACTAATCCATATAAAAGAATGAAATCTTGGCATTTGCAATAACATAGATGGACCTAGAGAGTATTATACTTAGTGAAATAAGTCAGACAGAGAAAGACAAATACCATGTTTCACTTACNAGACAGAGAAAGACGAATACCATGTTTCACTTACATGTTAAATCCAAAAATCAAAACAAAGAAACAAACAAAACAAAACAGAAACAGACTCAGAGAACAAACTGGTGATTGTAAGAGGGGTGCGGCTGGGAAATGGATGAACAGATGAAGGAGAGTAAAAGGTATAAACTTCTACTTATAAAATAAATAAGTCCTGGGGATGTAATGTACAGTGTAGAAAATATAGACAATAGTATTGTAATTACATTGTTTACTGACAGAGGGTCACTAGACCTAATGAAGTGATCTTCATAATGTCTAAAAATATTGAGTCACTATCTTGTATACCTGAAACTAATATATTGTACATCAATTATAATTCAGTAACAATAGGATTGATTGATTAAATACATTTTTATTAATTATAACCTATGTTCCATAGAAAGCTCCCAGTATGTTGGCTAAAATCTATAGCACCTGCTGTGTTCCTTAAGAGCGTGTGAGTTCGATAAAATTTGGCCCTTTGTAAATCTCCCTAGTATACTATCACTAAAGTTTGAATAGTCCAGATAATAAAGGTAATCCTCTCCTCTATTCTTTGTTGAAAACCTCTTTTCATGAGACTAAAATAGGAAAGAATGGGAATTGATGTCTGAGCAACATATAATTTGGTATGAAATAAAGTGTCTGAAAATCTAGATAAAGTAATATTTTTACTGATGATACATGTTCTCCAAGTTTTTCGCATTTCTGATTTTGATGCATTTTCAAACTTAACTGCATCTCAAAAAATTTCCTTCATCTTTTCCAAAGTTAATAATAATAATAAGAACAAACATAATTGGATGAATATTATTGAAATTTTACATTAGAAATAAATGGAAAAATGAGAAAATATATCAAAATTCTTAAAGATGTATAATTTTTTTTTAATTTCCAGGATTCATATCTATAATAACAAAGCAAATGATATATGTTTTCAAATAATTTAACATGTACTTTTTTTAAAACCATTTGTTATTGATACGTTTGCCTGAAACTTATTTCTTTAGTCTTTATGGGTGTGTATGAGAACTTTCTAGAATATGACAAGGAAAGTGTCATAGTCTTATTCTGGAAGGTTGTGCTAGCAAGGAACAGGGTTGGTGAGTGTGATACTTACACCACCGCCTTACAGAAGGCACATCTGTTGCCGTATGTCTGGCCATCAGAGCCACAGTGGGGATTTGATTCTCGAGTGCAGAACATGTTGGGGTCCTGGAACTCGCTACAGTCAACCTACCAAAGTGAGCATAGGGACATTGGTATTAGTGCATTCTGCCTGAGGGACTGCCCCTCAGAACAGAAGCAAAGCTTCTCGAAATAGAAAATAGCTTCCTGTATCTGCTTGACTAGAATGTATTAAACATAACTGAAACTTTTCCTTTGAGACACTGGAAACCTATTTCTGCAGGTTTTGTATACCGAGGAGTTAATGAAGCATGGCAGGTGCTATCTGTAGCAGATACATTGTAAGGAATAAGGCAAATTCTATCTATAGATATGTATATCCATCTGCTCCAGCACTGAATTGTTCCAACTGAGAGTAGTATTTGTTTTTTAGATGACATTTGTTCCGGGTTTTTGTTTGTTTTGTTTTTTAGTGTATATTATTAGTGTAATACCAACAGCACTCGTTCTGCACGCTCCAAGATAGGGATGGTCAGTGCAAGGGCGTCCCAGACGTTAACTGATGGCTTGTTAGTTTCCCTGTGGTGGCTACATCCCTTTATAATCTCACCAAAACAGAATTCAAATGTCTTTTTATTAACTTACTGCCTCAGAGTCTGTTTGTAGAATTTAAACTCTCTACCTACCACATAACCCAGGAATGGCCACCTAAGCTGCTGTATTAGGAAGGGTTGTGAGGTTGCATCTAGCCTTGCTGGGAACATGTGCTTTGAGTAATAATTACCATCACAGGCTCTATAGCAGGAAGGCTACCATCTATGCTAATGATATAGCCCTACTAATACAGCATTCTCTCAGAGGTAGTCTTAAGAGCTTTATGTTTGGAGTTTTAAGTTTCTGTTCAGTTCAGTGTCAAATGAGTCAGTTTTTGGTGTGCAAATGACATTTGAGCCATTTTATTCCAGGATACAGGTAATATGCAATAGGTAGACCTGAACTCCTCCTGATGTTAGGTACATGGGATGAAGTGACATTTGAATATGAATAGAGAGACTGTCCCTTTACCCCTATTTTGGTTCCATTAAAATAATACCATCTTACATTTATCAATTGCGTCATAATACCCAAACTACTCTCATATGGATTATTCACTCAATGGAGTCTCACGTTAATCCTGAGATATACTGAACAATCCTATATTAACCAGTTTACAAACATGGATTCTGATCCTCAGGAAAATAATGCCTTACCAGTGCCACACAACCAGCAAGCAATGCGATCAGTGCTTAAACATAGTCCTTGTTGCTGATCCTATTTTACCTATTGTGTATTGCCTGTACCCTGATTACTGATGCAGAATTTCTAGCAAATCTGCTGTGGTTAGTTTCCAACTCATCTTCATGGAGAGAGGTAAAGATCAACGGTCACTATGTACCCTTGACCACATTTGTAGTCGGGACATGTGGGTTTTATTAACATACCTTATTAGGGAAGTGTACGGGCATAGGTAAGAGGAATCACTAAAGAGATATCAGTAAGCTGTTGTATACTGGCAAAGCTCTCTAAAAGTTTTCATGGGGAAATGCTCAGCCAGAGCCATCAGTTGAGTTTGAAATATTATCACATAGATTTAAGCCACCTGAGACCATTCAATAGACATTTTTTTGAAATTTGGCAATCTTTTAGTATTGAGGTTGGAAAGGATAGTACAGATGTCTTCTTAGGGCATGATTGGTTAGAAGATGCTGGGCTTACAGTCCCACTTTGCAGTCCTACTTTCCCCACAGTTCTTAAAGACATCTGAATCCTCTCGTATTATTTCCAGGACAGCAATCTTTTTAAGTCTCCAAATGGAAAAACAGTTAGACAATCTCTAGGGCAATATAAACCATAGGATAATTTCTTCTCAATTTCTAATGTATTTTGTATTTAAGTCACTGGTGTACAAATTTACAGTTGTGTGTTTGAGTCCAGAAAGGACTGTACAACACAGAATCATCACTGATATTTTCATTTATTCCACAGACAGCAGATAACTATTATTTGGAAGATATGTTGCTGGGTAATGGTGATACAAAGAGGAATTAGTTATAAACACTACCTTGATAAGCTCACCATCTTATTTGCACTAAGGAAGCAGAGAAGAACATGGATAATTGTACATGATGTGTAATAAATGCCACAGCGGGACAAGCCCAGGCAATGTGGGAACTGAGAGAAAGGCATCTCGTCAGATGTATGTTGTCTCTACAGCCAGGTCAGTGTGGAAAAGAAAAAGGGAACTCTCTTACATGAAAGAGACACCTCCTTAAGACACCTTTTCTTGGCAATCAGCCCTCTGATCTTGTGATCCAGCCTCTTTTGTCCTTTAAAAGCAGATACAAAAGTGGCACTTGGGGACGGTGTTCCCTTTGAGAGCTTCTAGGCACCACTTCCCTCCCCAAGCCCAGTTTTCCCCTTCCACTGCACCCTGGGGATGCGACTAGGAAGAACAAAACGTTTCAATAAATAAAAATGAATCAATCAAATGGCATATGCATATACTTCTTAGAACATAGATATGTTTCATGCTTTTAAATTGCTATAGTGGCCCTTGGTGATTCCTGAATTAAGCTAAGGACTCATGTTCTAGAACTTGACCGCTATTCATCATCAGTTCACTGTGTCTTGGGCAAAGTACTCAACATCTGTGCCTCAGTTTTCTTCACCAAAATTAAAACAAAACAAAACAGTTGCCATGCTTCTTTCCCAATGTTGTTATAAGGATTAAATGTGGTCATACAAGAGTGGGAGAAAGTCAGTGTGGAATATTTGAAATAGCTCTAGACTAAGAGTGCAGGAAACAAGCTTCTGATTGTGGGCCTGCACGAAATGTAGCTTTCCATGAAAGGTATTTGTAACTCCTATGAAATGCTGAGTACCATCAGACACTAGAAGGTCTCTAATAGCCCTTCCAGCTTTGATGGTCCAAGATGTAGCAGTGACTTCTTCCAGTGTGGTGGCTTGAATAAAGCTAAGACCTTAGGTCTTCGATTGGGTGGAGAAATAGCAAGTACTGCCCAAATGCTCCTTCCTTTATATCTAGAGAACCCTCTTTACTCACTGCGTGCCTGGGGACAGAAAAGGGCCACTGAGAGCCCCAGAGGTTAGGAAGGTGAGTGGGAGCCTTGCAGAAGCGACCAGGGTGAGGCAGGGGACTGAAAGAGACCATGGCTGGCTGCAGTTTCTGAGTGTCATGTGCTTCCTCTGCCAAAATTTCCTCTCCTCTTTTACATTTTTATTTAAGCTCCTTTAAACAGAATCCAAACAACTGGCTTCTCAGTAGAAGTAAAGACTAATCTAGATGTAGGGTGATAGTAGGATTTTTAAATTTCCTTTACCATTTCCTCTGTGGGAAGTATAAGAGATCCAGGAGAGCTGGAACCCACTCCCCCACCCTTGCTGCAGACTATTTAAAATGCCCTAATGCTCTGCAATGCTGGGAGACTCACCTGGGTTTGAATTTTGCTCCTCCCACTTATTAGCTGTATTACCATGTGCAAACACGTCTCTGCTCTGAGTTTAACTTTATTCATCTTTAACGGGAAGCTGGCAACACCTATCATCTATGGTTATTGTAATGACAAATCCTTTGGAAACACTGCAAAGTTTCAACTATTGTGCAAGATTGCTGTTACACTAGCAATGTAAATTGTATCACATTCTAGACTTTTTTGGATCCCATTATTCCTTACCCTATTTTGGCAAGTTTTTTTTAATATTTGATAGTGAAAAAGAAAAAAACAAGCACCCCCATTTTTTAGTTGGGATGCCGCAGACTACTTGCAGGTCCTTGGGTGCCAGCACTTAATATCAGTCTGACCTCTTGTGCTTCTTTGAAGCACTGTACCCTCTAAAATAGCCCAGATGGAGCGTAAGTCTTTGCATCAGTCATCACCACTTGTCCGGTAAATGAGCTTATATGGGCACTGAATCAGCTGAAGATTGGGGATCATTGATATTCTAGTCCAGCGTCTTAATTATACAAATAAAGCCAATGAAAATTTGCGATCACACAGAAGCACACACACATACACACACACACACACACACACACACACACACACATCCGAAGAGTGGGATTTCATCTCTTTCCCTTTACTGAAAATATTACCTTTATGCTGAATCAGCTTCTTTCTTGATCATACTAGTTTTCTTAACTCTTCCCTGACTTAGTTTCTAATTTCCCATTTTTACACCCTTTCCATGCCACTAAAACTTCTGTAAGAGATGGCACCTCTCACGATACACCTATAGGCTCTTGGCTATGTATAAAATGTGCATGATTTTTTAAAAGATAACCTGCTCTCGATCAGTCCAGCCTCTTTGAAACTCTTTCCTGACTTCTGCAATATGCCTGTATCCTGATGTCCGACTATTTCTTCTCTATCCCTTTCATTGCCTTTTCTATTTTCCTCCCGAGTATTCATTTTGTTCATTTTCAAGAAACTGTATATACTTGATTTTTTACTAAGAATATATTTTCCCAGATTATAGTGATGAGTTCTAGACTCTTATTGTTCTTGAATCCTCATTAAAATCTCAAGCCTAATTCCTAATTGTCACAAATACACAGTACACCTTTGGTCAACAATCTGATTCACATTTACTACTCCTCTGTGTCCAAAATGTAACTCTTTATCATTCCCTCCAAACTAATTTTACATTCCAATTTTTTAAGTTTTTCATAGTAGCACCATTCTTCAGATTGTTCAACCTACCCTCAGATTAAATATTATCATTTCTTTCCCCTTGCAAGTGTTTCCTTTCGTGTATTTCTTTATTTCAAGTCTTCTTCAACAATTCCAAATTTACCACCTATACCCACCCTCAACTTCCCTGGCCTGAGCCAATGCAAGAAATTCTGCCCCCTCTGCTTCCCTCCCTCCAAGTTTCAAAATCCCTCCTACATGTGGAGACCAGTTATTTTATTTTAAACTACTGTTTTTATTATAGTACTTTGTTGCTTAAGCAGTGAGGATACTAAACACTATTGTATGTTTACTTAGAAAGTATACTGTTCAAAACACCTTTGCGGATATGCACGGGGCTTCCGCTGCTCACTAGCCGTACGTAGCCAGGGCTATGGATGCCCCATATGGAGGCAGGGGTCCTGAGGGGTTGACTGCACAGCTTTATTGCTCTTGGCAAACTTGAGTCACTTAGGTCCCCCTGTTTTCCTATCTGTGGTTAGGTTGTATATGCTGGTTAACATCTCCAAATTGTATTTACAGATTCTGTCAGTATATTAATTTTACATGAATTCAAGCCAATTAGGAAAAATGGACAGCCCCATACATACTCAGGTCATGGGGCATTGTTTTACTAACTACTACAATTTACCATATCTTTATCTTATGATACAAATAAAAATAAACTTAGATATTCCAAAAATTATTATAAAAGAAATTGGTTGCCAATTATGGTTTTTAAGAGGTTTGTGATGTTAATACCAATCTGGAATATTTATTTAAACAGCTCTTTAAAGGTATGGTCCCCAGACACACAGCCTGCTGAGGAGTTAGAAAAATAAAGGCCATGTAGTCAGTGGTTCCAAAAGATAAATTTATTTAGTTCAAAGGATGATTCTGACTCTGAGATTATGTCTTTCAAGCATTTTGGCATAACACTGTAACTTAGTTAATGAAGGCTGGTGATGGTAGATAGTAGTTTTATTTTTTAATTGCTATTATTATTTTGTTATTTTATATTCCTACTTGGCAAATTAAAGAGTTGGTAGCATATTAGTTAGTCATTTACATTTATGGGAAAAATTTTATAGGACCATGAATTCCTAAAGTCCAGAAAGATGCTTTTTGTTTTGCATGAATAATTATTTTGAAAGAATGTGAACCTTTTACAAACCTACAGTGTAGACTGCTGACTATAATCCTCCTTGAGATGCTTCGTCATGGAGATGCGTTCTGGCACAAGAAGGACTGCCTGAGGGCTGGAGAGCTTTCCTCCTTTTGTCTCTTCTAATCAGCCATGACCAAGGGTGCCCCCAACATCAAGCTTCCTCTGCCCAGCTTTGGGGCTGCCACCTGCCTGCCAACCATGCAGAAGATGAATAGCAGCCTTGATACCATCTGCAAGGTGGCACCCTCCCTGCCCTTAGTGTTTGAGTGGAAAAGAGACAGTTGTCTTACCAAGGAAGGCTTGGTTCAGTCGTCATTGAACTCAAACTTTCATTTTAGAGAAGCAGAAACAAGGGAAAGAAGGAAAGAGACACCCCTCAGATCACACAGCCCGTAAGTGTTCGAATAAGGACTCATCTGTGTTGTCCTTTTATATCTGAGCACTCTAAAGTCAGTGCTTGCCTGCGCTAGGTAATTATTAAGAATGAAGATTTGAAACTCCCCACCTGTGTGATTCTTATTCAGTAAGACTGGTAAATACATATTTAGTAGGCATCCCCAGTGATTCTAAAACAAGCAGTCTGTAAGATGTACACTCATCTAAAAGAAGAGAATCAGTAATTAGTAGATTTTAAATCAACTTCAGAAAACACAAAAAATCTGGGAAACGTGTTTTAATGAGAAAACTGGGATTAAATTCCATGTGTTTTAAATGTATTTGCAATGGTCTTACCACTTTTTTACTCTCTAATGGTATATAAAATGTGTTGGCTAGATCTCATGTCCTTTCCTTGTTTGTTTTGACACTTTGACATAGACCATGCTACCATACGTATTTAAACATAAGAAGAAATCAATATTAAGATGTGCAATTGTATATACCAATACAAGCACCATGGATTAGACACATACAAGTGCACACACACACACATGCACACACACACTGGAGGCTAGTTGTAAGGTATCAACCATTGTAAGATGCATCCCAATTTGCTAGATGCTAAAATTTGAAACAAAAAAGTCTTATGCAATGTAGCAGGTAAACTAGGGTTGGAAAATATTTTTCAACTTCTTTGCCAAAGCCAATCAGTTGGTAGTGTTGTCTGGAAACTTTTGATTCCAAGGGTTCTTGAGCACAGGGCTAAACAAGAACCGGTGCCACGGTCAGATGGGAATGTTCACTATGGACACAGGCGCAGGACAGGCAGAGCAAGTACTTGTTTGGGTTGCCTTTTGGACAGAACAAGAAAGATGGAAACAAGCTGCTGGATTAATTTGGAAAAAATTAGCCTGACAATGAAGATAACTTGTGCCTATTCCAATACTTAAGCCAAATTATTTTTAAGCTTGAGTGAATCTGTTTTTGTGTACTCAGTACAAAACCTTAAAGAAGGGTTCTCTCTATGCTTGTCTTACTTCCAGAAAGGAAATAATTTCTGTGGTAGTAAGCATCCCCAGTCATCCTAAAGCAAGCAGCTTCTGTCCTTTATGAGCTGTTAATTAATAATCATTAAGTCAACTTCTCATAGTTTACCAAATCCTCCCACATAGTTTATGTAATTTAAATCTAATTCTATTATCCCTTATCTATACTTGTGGAAATTGTAGCTCAGAAAAGTTAAGTTGTCCAAGATCACACTGTGGAATCAGTGATACATTACCAGAAATTCAACCTATTTTTATTAATATTCATTCTATTTTAACAACATCTGAAGATGGCCACTTAGGTGCTTATAAACTGAAAACAGTTATGATCACAAAAAGATTATATTTGTAAAGTGTACTATTTCCACTGATTTTTGCACTTGTTTTGTTTGTTCATTGTTTTTGCTCCGTCACCCACCAACAGACCTCTCTGGCCAGGGAATACCAGCCAAGCACCACCCAGGTCTGAAGAATAGATTTAAAAATATGCACTGACCTGTCCTCCTTGACTGAAGACACCTGAAAACATAAAATCAGCACACTGTAATCTTTGAAATGTGAAAATAGTGGGATATGCAAAATTAGGAAATCCCCAAGCATGGAATGATACTTGCTTTTTGTTCTTGACCATCTCAACAAGTCATGGCATGATTGTTCTGTTTGTTTATGCCTGCTTACTTCTTAGGGAGCAGTAGAAAATTGGAAAGTGATTTAAGAAGATGCACTGCTATGGGTGAGGGGAAATAGTTTAAAGATCTGGAGATTGATGTTGCGGTCCTGACCCAGTCACTGATTCACTCGGGGAGCGATCTCCCCAGCTCTGGCCTTGCTCTGGAGAAGTTGGGCTGGAAGAGTTCCCTCTGGCTGTGCCTGAGCTCACAGTGTTCCTCCCCAGAGCCTTTGTTACAGGCAGGAGGGTAAGGGAATGAATTTGTTCTTTGAGCCCAAATTATTTATCTGCCCTCTGTATTCAACCAGCTTTAAAGAGTTGGCCCAAATATAGACCAGTAAGGACAAATTCGTTCTCTTTTCTGTGACTCATTTCTCCTGCTACCTCTCTCTGATTTCCTGAAAGAGAGCAGAAGTTCATAAATACAGTCTTGCTTCTCCCTTACACAGATGATTGGATATGTGACTTAATGAGCTCCGTGGCTTAAAATGCTGAAATCATAAAAAGTCTTAGATTCAATCCTTGTAAGAGTTGCTGAATTTCAAATTCTGGCTATTCTGTGGAACCCCCAATGCCAGCACCACCTCCACATGGAAGCTCCATGGCACTGTTGTGGAGGAAGGGGGTGGATAGGCATCACCCTGCTCCGGTGCCAGTGACTGTGACAGGAGAGCTGGAAATACCATGCAGGGCCTTCTCTGCTGAGGAGGACGAGGAGAGAGCAGGGCTCTTAACTCTGAAAAGCAGGTGGTGACCATCTACTGTGGTGCTTGTCAGCCTTATTGCAGTAGTGTGCCTGGTTATTAAAAAATCAAATTCTTAGGATATTTACTTGAGAATTCCATTATATAGGTCAAACAGGGTCTGGAAGTCAATGTTTTTATAACGACTTCAAGTGATTTTTATGCTCAGGGAAAATCACTGTTACAGTTTTCACCAATCCCCCCCTGTACACATCTTTGATCAGAAGAGGGGAGGTCTTACCCAATGTGTCATTTGCAGAAAACGTCAAGGCAGAAGCAGGGCTAATAGCCACAGTGCCTGAGCCCATGTAGTACTCTTTCTATTAACTTTAAAAGTGGCAATATTCATAGATATTGTTGAGCCCTTACTCTGCCCCATCTACTATGTCAAGCACTTAGCATACATTTTTTCACTTAATTCCCCAGAAAGGGCTAGTCTTTTTATATTCCCATTTTACAGATGAGGAAAATGACACTCCTGAAGGCCATCACACCGCTGTAAAATGGGAATGCCAGGACCGAAATTCATTTCTTTTGAAGGCTCTTAGGCACTATGCCTCCCCAAATATGGATATGTCTAGGAAGGATCCCGTTTTAGTGTATTTGGTATTAGCCAACCAGTCCCATTAAAAGATCACTTAGCTTTTGTGAAGAGAAGCAATAAGAGGATATCAGTTAATTTCTGGGACCGTCTTTGCAAGAAGATTTTAATGTAGATCTATTTTTATGCATTCAGGAATTGACTAAGCTACTCACCCAAGTTACCTGGCTTTAGTAGACAAACTCACTGCACAATGTCACAGAAATTCCAGTCTTTTTTTTCTCCACATTTCTAAGTGTATTTGTTTATGTAGATACGACAGCTCCCAGTGAACAATCTCATTGACAAATTGTTGTTTTTTACATGTTCAGCTACTTAAAATCTCTGATGGCAGCAAAATTCAACTACTCTTGTCACAGAACATGATACCTCCTACCTGGGAAGTCCCAGGACTCAGTCTCATTTCTCGCCTTCTACAAATAAGAGACCAGGTCAGAGAGCCAAGTTTCCCTCGGGTTGACGCAGGCACTGGGGAGCAGGCAGGCCCAGGACCCTGATTGAGAGCTCTAGCATGAGCTTCGGCCACTATGGCCGCACAGAATAATACAGGAGGGAAGAAGGAGATGCAGGGGACCTGCTCACTCACACGGTCCTGCGATGACAAACATCAGATTGAAGTGTAATTGTGCTTTGAACACTATGAATTGATACACTATGTAACGGCCACTCATTCAAGTGACCAAAGATAGTCCCCTGCTTCAGGAAAGTACTCCACTAGCAGCAGGTACGGTTCTGCATTTCAAGGTTCAATCACTTTTTCTGAAAGATTCTCTAATTGAGTTGCCTTTATACCCTTTGTTTCAATTTCAGTTATCTAAGAGCAGGAAATCTTCCCTTTGTCTTAAGAAGTGAAACTAATATTTACAACAATTACCATCCTCCAGGGTAGTTCTGTGGTGCACACATCATCCGTGATGTCTGGAAGACCTGGATTTGAATGTCAAATTCTACTTACTAGCTGAAAGTCCTCTGGCAGTTTTCTTAACTTCTTTGTGCCACAGTTTTCTTATATGTAGAATTTGGATTTGAATACCTTGCTGTGTATATTGGAGATAATGTATGTAACCCCTCAGTACTGGCCTGGAATGTAGCATATGCCCAACAAAATGTTATTTTTATCATTATTATTATCACCATTTTCATCCTCCCCATCATTATCATTATGATGATCTCTCAGAATTGGTGTTTTATATCAAAATTGTTAGAATTTTGAAATATGGTAGACAAATACATACTTGTTATTTCCAGTTCAGTATAAATATTGGATTTTAATTTTAAGGAAAAAAAAAAACTCACCTGAGAGAAAGCAGAAAAGAGCCAGAGAGAGGAACAGAGGGACACCTGATATTTTCATGGCACCAGTTAGCTCACTCAGATCAAGGCTGCCTCGTCCAGCTGTGATTCTCTTTCCAGACACTTCCCAGAACACTGAACCACACACTCAGACTTATATACAGACCTGATTGAGGGAGTTAAGATCTCCACCTTCTTCATAAAATCACATTCTAAAACCATATGCAAATCTATACACTTTAGGCATTTATTGGGACTTCTCACCAACTTAAAGAAATGCTTCATGTTCCCTGTCAACCTGAAAAATCAGGACAATTATGTGAGTCGCACCTTAGATCTTATTAACAGAGGATGTCATTTTCTACCAGTAGTCTACATTTTCCTGACGACCAACATATCCTCCCTGCTCTTCCCTCTTAGGTTTCACTGTATTAAAGGGATGACTCACCGGCAGAGCCCCACTTGATGCCTGCCTCCTTCAGACAGGTTCTGCGTGTCTGCGGTCCAGATGAGTAAGCACACTGGAATGGAATCCTGGGTGTAACTTGGATTTTCAGCATCCACATCATCCGAGGTGTACTTAAAAGAAGGAGGTATTCTACACTGTTATAGAACTGCATCAGAAAAAGCATTTTCTGGGCAGAAATCAGCTTGTACATTTTTTGAATCATTACTATAGTCAAATGCCAGTGATTTTCCATTTTTAAGTCAAAACAAAGAAGGAAGTCAATGCTTTTTTTTGAACTGGTAAAAATACATCATTTATTTTTGAAAGTTATGCAATTGAGGACTATTTGAAATGGGGAATGTTTAATATTTTTCCTTTTTCTGCAAAGTAGAAACATAGTTATAATAAAGCTCTTCATTTTACACTGTTCGTGTAAGTTAGATAAATCCCATTAACTATCATGGCCAATTTAATTGCAAAACAAATCAGAGAGTGAGATGCCATAGCATTCTTTGGGTGAATGAAAAAATTAAACAATGGTTATAGTGATAATGAGAAAGTCTCTAATCACAAACAGCTTTTTAAATTATCATGAAGAAAAAATATAAAAATTTTAAGTTTGGGTAGAATGTGCAAAATGAGCCCAATTTAATCACAAATGAGTAGTACAATACACATATTCCTGCAATATGCATACATATATATATATATATATAACCCAGAAATCATACATCTAAACATTTGGTTTCCTTTCAAGGTAGTCACTTTGAAAAAATAGATACATAGTTCAGATACTGTTACCTTTATTTCAGGATGTTTTCTTTTTTGGAAATTACATGTTTTCAGGAACTTTAATATGATTCATCTCACTTTTTAGGATGAATTTTCTGTCTTTGAAAATAGTGAGTATATTTTACTGAATCTGATAAATATATTACTGTTTAATCAACAATGAAGCATGATTCTAATAAACATAAGAATTGCTTTCTTTTAATTGCTTCTTTGACAATTTTAAAATACTTGAACTTAAAAGGTAGAAGAAAGAGAAGGGGAAGAGCACAGATAGAAATAAGAGGGAGGAAAATTATGTGCTTGGCAAGTATTGAAAATGTTTTCATTCTAAAGTGGTGAGATGTAAAACACACACACACACACACACACACACACACACACACTCACATATATACATAATCTTAAAGTCCTTTCCAGATGGTATAGGTCAGATGGTAGACCCCCAAAATTTCAAAGATACTAATGAACAGCCTTAAAAACTGTATTTTTCTTGAACACTTTATGGACTGAAGAGTCTGGCAATATTAAGAAAATAGAGTAATTGGGAACTTGCTCAAGGAAAACAATGAAGTTTTCAAATAAGATCTGTACAATTTTGTCTACTTGTCATTATCTTTAATTACTGTTGCCTGGTTAAATTAGATAATAATACAGAGCCATGCTTTGAAACTTTTAAACTTTACATGAGCCTGGTTTTAGGTACTGCTGCCACCTCCCTCCCTCTTCTCCTCTCTGTTCCCAAGGTTTCCTCTTCTGTTTTCCCTTTTCCTTTCCCTTTATGAAGTGAGTATATAGGGACAGTCTACACATAACCTTATGTCTGTCCCCCAGTGACAACAGTTCAAAAGTATTAACAAAAGAAAAAAAAGGAAGAAGAAAACAATGTGACAGCAGTAGTTGGTGATGTTCCATCCTAAAATCTGTGGCAGTTTTTCTAAAATATGTTTAAATTTCTCCTGTCCCCAAAATTTCCTTTATGATAATCACTTCTCATACCTTGGTCTAAACTCTAAACTCTCAAAATCGCTGTTTACCTGAATATTACTCCCTCTTCAGCTTCCATCCCCTCCCTCCCTACCTCCCCCATCCTTCAAGAGCTTCTCCTCTATAGACGTCCTTGGGTAGAATGAGTCTGCCCTCTTTCCTGGATGTTTTCAAATTCTGTGTCTTCCACATCTATCCTGCTCACCACCCCAAAACTTGGGGTCATGAAAACACTAATGAAGCATCGACTCTGGGCAGATGTCAGGGAAGGAATACTACATAATAAGCATACATATTTTAAGAAATCTCGTACCTTGAATATCAACTTTTGTTAGGTTTCTGAGCCCATGTGAAAGATTTTTTTTCTTTTTATAGAACTTAAAGGAAAAGGTGAAAAAACCATTCACTGGGAATCATTTAATTAGCTCCTCAAACAAGAAGCTGAAATAATGGAAGATCACAGAGATGTTACAGGCAATTATTCACAAGCACCAAAGAAGTATGTAGTTTTCATCTTTTGGCCGCAGAGTAAGTAGATGAGAATCGTTTGAGTTTTGTTTTCTCTAACACTCTGAAAAGGAAATAGGAAATGTTTTAAAAATCCTAACATTTAAAGGCAAGTAAATATCAAAGAATTGAATCCTGAGGGGGGAAAAAAAACAGAAAAAATGTGAATTTCACGCTGTGCAGTAGAAGGCAATACAGCAAACACAGAGCTGACTTCCAGAAACTAACTGAGCACATTTCTTTTAGGTAATTAAAGACAGAAACTCTGTAAGATTATATTTCCATGTACAGTTTATTATATAAACATGACACTTTACTCACAAATATTACTATCCAGGGTAGATTACACAAAGTCATTACATTTTAATTCATATACGTTTAAGGAAGTTTAAGGGATTATAGGGCAATTTTGATTCTAAAATTTTTGCTGCTGATTCTGTAATGCCACTTCACCTACTGAGGTGCAGCTTCATTGCTTTTAGCTTGCTTAGGTCTGGGTTCAGGGATATACACATAAATGTGCTTGTATGTTTTAACATTTTATTCATTCATATATATTTCCTTTCCCCAATACTGGCCATGTGTAGTAGAATGTATTATTTGTAAACATCACTTCTCAAACATCTATGTCCTTGTCTCCAAACCCTTGAGCCCTTCCACTATTTAACAAAGGCCAAGAGATAGAAATGTATTTTCAAAAAAAGGACAGCCACCACCTTGTTCAAGGAAGTCACTGCTCAGCATTCAATTATGATATTTTTAAAACATTCCTAGGCACACAAGAGACTAAAATCAAGAATTTTTAATTTGCAACAATGAATCTTTGTTCTGAGTAAAAAAAATTGTATTGCATTCAAATATTTGTCTCTTCATTTAGAAATTTCTCTCTTCCTAATTTTCTTTTTTATATTTTCTTGTATTTCTTCTTGAATTCATTTTTTAAGGTTGAACTTTGTATATGGGTTTTTATATTAGGCCACTTCAAATCTCTTATTTTTAAATTTGAGTGTTACAATTTAGCATTAAGTTGGATAAGAGTCAAGAGATTATTGTAGCATAAGTTTAGGAACACTAATAAAGGATGACATTTTTCTTAGGCATCCAACAAACAGATCAGAGTAACCTTGTTTTCTAATTTTACAAGGTAACTAGTCCGGTAGATTTAAGGTATTTAGTAGACATAATGGGGTGAATCAGCAAGGTGTTAGGTAAAGTCTCCCATGCTGTAATAGTGAGGGATAAAGACATAAGAATTAACTATTGTAACTGGTTGAATGACTGAACAAAAGTTAGCAGTGGGTGAATTAGCATAATTGGGAGGAATAGACTGGTGTCCCAGTCAGTGCTTTTATAATGGACTTAAATGAAGATTTAAAAAGCATGCTGTAAATAGGAAGTCAGATCTCTGTCATCCTCTACTTTTGAGGTTCATTTTTCTTGGCATGCACGGGAAGCATCTGTCTTGCTCCTCTCAGCCAGTCATCACCCTCAATATGTAGAAATCTTTTGGCTCCTGATAGAATCCCACCTTCAGCACTGCACTGATCTTACCAGTAAAAATGTTCAAGATGCTCGGTGAAATAAGCCAGGTGGAAAAAGACAAGTACCAAATGATTTCACTCATATGTGGAGTATAAGAACAAAGAAAAAAAACTGAAGGAACGAAACAGCAGCAGAATCACAGAACCCAAGAATGGACTAACAGTTACCAAAGGGAAAGGGACTGGGGAGGATGGGTGGGAAGGGAGGGATTGGGGGGGGAGAAAGGGGCCATTAAGATTAGCATGTATAATATGTGGGGGGAGTCACAGGGAGGGCTGTGCAACACAGAGAAGACAAGTAGTGATTCTACAGCATCTTACTATGCTGATGGACAGTGACTGTAATGGGGTTTGTGGAGGGCACTTGGAGAAGGGGGGAGTCTAGTAAACATAATATTCCCCATGTAATTGTAGATTAATGATACCAAAATTTAAAAAAATGTTCAAGATGACGGAGTCAGTGTCTATTCCTGTGATCGTTTTTCTCTCTCTTCTTAGAACTGTTATAAATCTGATCCATAAAAGTTGGTCCTGAATTGCTATTTATATAATTTACCAACTGATTCTTGTTTCATAGCTTAATCTACAACCTGAAATTATAATGATCTTGAAGGCAAGACAGGGGTTCATCTTATTTTCCATTTAAATTCTCCTTCTTTTCCTTTAATAAGAAAATGAAAACTGTTTTAACATTTATTTAATTTTTAAAATTTGTCAATTTTTTGTTATCTTTACCTAGACTTCCTCCTAATTTTCCATGCCACTCTTTGAATGTTTTCATTTTTCAGTGGTTTCTATAGGCTGTTTGACTTTGCTTCCTTTATCTTCTCATAACA